GATGCAGGATCCGGGTGCAGGATCCAGATGCAGGATCCAGATGCAGGATCCGGGTGCAGGATCCAGATGCAGGATCCGGGTGCAGGATCCGAATACAGGATCCAGATGCATGATCCAGATGCAGGATCCAGATACAGGATCCGGATGCAGGATCCAGATGCAGGATCCAGATGCAGGATCCGGATGCAGGATCCAGATGCATGATCCAGATGCATGATCCAGATGCAGGATCCGGGTGCAGGATCTAGATGCAGGATCCGGATGCAGGATCCGGGTGCAGGATCCGGGTGCAGGATCCGGATGCACAATCCGGGTGCAGGATCCAGATGCATGATCCAGATGCAGGATCCAGATGCAGGATCCGGATGCAGGATCCGGATGCACAATCCGGGTGCAGGATCCAGAGGCAGCCCCAGCCCTTCCCGTGCCGGGGGGGCCGGCGCTGATCCCCCCCTTGCAGGGCGCGGATGGGGAGCCCGGGCGCCGCGGGCAGCAGGGAATGTTCGGACCCAAAGGAGACGAGGGCTGGAGGGGCCCCCCCGGCCCCGGCGGCCCCCCCGGGCGCCAGGTGAGCGGGGGGGATGCGGGATGCGATGGGGGGGTCAGGGGGGGGGGCTGTGCTGTATCCAACCCTGTGCTCCGCAGGGAATGCCGGGGCCGCCGGGAGAGAAGGGGGAGAACGGAGACGTCGGCCCCATGGTAACGACCCCCCGACTGCCACCTCCCTCCCAGCGCGGCGCATCCCGGGCTCCCGGATCCCCATGGATCCCCACGGATCCCCAGATCCCTCCATCCCCCCCCAGATCTCTCCATGCCCCTCAGATCCCCATAGATCCCCCAGATCCCTCCATTCCCCTCAGATCCTTCCATCCCCTCCAGATCCCCATGGATCCCCAGATCCCTCCATGTCCCAGATCCCCACCAATTCCCAGATTCCTCCATCCCCCCCAGATCCCTCCATGTCCCTCAGATCCCTCCATGCCCCAGATCCCTGAATCCCCCTGATCCCTATGGATCTCCAGATCCCTCCATCCCCCCCAGATCCCTCCATTCCCATCAGACCCCTCCATCCCCTCCAGATCCCTCCATTCCCCTCAGATCCCCCCATCCCCCTGATCCCCATGGATCCCCAGATCCCTCCATACCCCCAGATCCCTCCATTCCCATCAGATCCCTCCATCCCCTCCAGATCCCTCCATGCCCCAGATCCCTGCATCCCCCCGATCCCCATGGATCCCCAGATCCCTCCATCCCCCCCAGATCCCTCCATTCCCAATAGATCCCTCCATCCCCCAGGTCCTTCCATTGTCCAATATCCTTCCATCCCCCCCAGAACCCTCCATTCCCCCCAAATCCCTCCATTCCCTGGATCCCCTGGACCCGCCTGGTCCTCCAGCCCCGGCTCTTTCTCCCGGGGGGGTTCAATGTGACCCTGGGGGGGTCCTGATCCGCTCGGCATTCCCACAGGGCCCGCCCGGAGCGCCGGGACCGCGCGGGCTGCTCGGAGCCAGCGGAGCAGAGGTGGGTCCGGCCGCCGTGGGGCGCGGACTCTGGGATGGGCAGGGGGGGGTCACCGCATCCCGGCATCCGCAGGGTCCCCAGGGAATGCCGGGCGGCGTGGGACAGCCGGGCGCTGTGGGAGAGAAGGTAAATCCATGGCTGGAGCATCCGGAGCGTTTGGAGCATCCGGAGCATCYGGAGTGGCGCCGGAGCCCGGCTGGCGGCTCCTGCTCCGCTTTGCTCCCGCGCAGGGCGAGCCGGGTGAAGCGGGAGATCCCGGAGCCCCGGGAGAGCCCGGACCATCCGTGAGTACCGCGGGGATGGGAGAGCCGTGGGGAGCAGCCGGAATGCCGGGAAGGGGAAGGGGGGGCTCGGTGGAGAGGGAGCAGGATCTGCTCCCCGGATCCGCTATCCGGACCCTCTATCTGGACCCCYATCCAGATTCCCATCCGAACCCCCTATCTGGACCCATCCTATCTGCATCCCTGCATTTGGACCCCTATCCGGATCCCCCCATCCAGACATTCCTTATCCAGCTCCTTGTATCTGGATCCCTATCTGGACCCCCCATCCGGACCCCCCTTATCCGAATCCCTGTATCTAGACCCCTGTTCAGATCCCCCATCCAGATCTCTCTTATCCGAATCCCTGTATCTGGATCCCTACCCGGATCCCCTCATCCAGACCCCCCTTATCTGGATCCCTGTATCTGGATCCCTATCCAGATCCCCTCATCCAGACCCCCCTTATCCAGGTCCCTATATCTGGCTCCCTATCCGGATCCCCCCACCTGGACCCCCCTTATCCGGATCCCTGTATCTGGATCCCTATCTAGACCTCCCCTATCCAGACCCCCCTTATCCAG